CTAATAGAATCAGCCAAACCTGATGGCATTACTCAAATTTTAATGGAATCAGCCAAACCTGGTGGCATTACTCAAACTTCTAATAGAATCAGCCAAACCTGATGGCATTACTCAAATTCTAATGGAATCAGCCAAACCTGGTGGCATTACTCAAACTTCTAATGGTATCAGCCAAAACTGATGGCATTACTCAAACTTCTAATGGAATCAGCCAAAACTGGTGGCATTACTCAAACTTCTAATGGAAACAGCCAAACCATACGGCATTACTCAAATTTCTAATAGAATCAGCCAAACCTGATGGCATTACTCAAACTTCTAATGGAATCAGCCAAAACTGGTGGCATTACTCAAACTTCTAATGGAAACAGCCAAACCATACGGCATTACTCAAATTTCTAATAGAATCAGCCAAACCTGATGGCATTACTCAAATTCTAATGGAATCAGCCAAACCTGGTGGCATTACTCAAACTTCTAATAGAATCAGCCAAACCTGATGGCATTACTCAAATTCTAATGGAATCAGCCAAACCTGATGGCATTACTCAAATTTCTAATGGGCTCAGCCAAACCTGGTGGCATTACTCAAATTTCTAATGGAATTAGCCAAACCTGATGGCATTACCAAAACTTCTAATGGAACCAACCAAACCTGATGGCATTACTCAAACTTCTAATGGAATCAGCCAAACCTGGTGGCATTACTCAAATTTCTAATGGAATTAGCCAAACCTTTTGGCATTACCGAAACTTATAATGGTATCAGCCAAACCTGGTGGCATTACTCAAACTTCTAATAGAATCAGCCAAACCTGATGGCATTACTCAAATTTCTAATGGAATCAGCCAAACCTGGTGGCATTACTCAAATTTCTAATAGGATTAGCCAAACCTGGTGGCATTACCGAAACTTCTAATGGAACCAACCAAACCTGATGGCATTACTCAAACTTCTAATGGAATCAGCCAAACCTGGTGGCATTATTCAAACTTATAATGGAATCAGCCAAACCTGGTGGCATTACTCAAACTTCTAATGGAATCAGCCAAACCTGGTGGCATTACTCAAACTTCTAATGGAAT